ACTCCGAAGAAGAGGGTCGTAAGCACCCCGTGTGTTCTGGCACGAGCCGTGGCCTCTAGTCGGCGAACCGTGCGTTGATCTCGCAGTTGCAGCTGGAGGAATAAACGGGGACACTGGCTCCGTTTCTCTGGTATCAAAACATTCGTAACGCGCCTCTATAAAACGCCCCTTTCACGCGGCTGTTTTACCCTCGGAACGTTTCTCTTGCGCCGTTCGAACGGGTAAGATTATTTTTCGAACGAAATTCGTGCGTCACAGGTGGTCGAGGTCTCGGAAAACAATCCGATACTCTCGGACGAGCATCGAGGGATGTGTTTGTCACTTCTTTAACTTTACAAAGGAACAACGAATGAAAGAACGCTGGAATTCTTCGAATTCCGGATATTATTCCGGATGTACTATTACATTTCGCGTCCCATTTGACTCTGATCATTCTCAGCGAAGAGATCGCGAAAGCGGTAGCGTTGTTTTATCCGTGAGAATCGAAATTTATATGTTTTCAACGTGTAGTTTTTCCGCGTCAATTTCTAGACAGCTTTCGGGTTCCACTTCTGCGCCGCTCGCGCGATTGGTGGATTTTTATGTAGCGGCCGAGACTGTGACGGATGACGCTCGTATTTCACAGATTTCATTTTCGACGCCAGCTGCGCTTTTTCCGAACGGTCGATTCCCGCAATAAAAGTTAGATAGCGTCGCGAGAGCTGTTCAAACATCGCTCGCGGTTAACGTATATGGCCTATAAAATAAAAACAATCACCGAAGAAACGCGGGTCAACTCCATCCGTTCGCTGGGACCGGATGTATCCCCTCGAACAGGGCCAGATAAGATACCTAAGAGACTTCCGTACGACGGCCACCTGGATTTCGTTGCAACGCGATATTTTTAGCCTCGTCATTTGTTTTCTCAAGAATTTCAGGCTGCGGTTCGGTTTATCGCTACCGTAAACACGACAGGAGATAATTCCTTTTCGAAAGTAGTCGATGGAAGAGCTCTTTGCAGCCTGCTCGGAGCTTAGATCCTCGAATTATCTTAGACGTAATAATTCCAAGGCCTCGTGTTCGATCTTTGTTATTTATTCATTTATTTTTTGTAACTCTAGTAGAAATATTTACGCCGAGGTAACGATTCGCCAGAGTCTCCACTTGATAGCACAGAATTAATTTTAAATTGATTATCGAGTATCGATAATCCAGTAAAACGACACGCGATACAGATCCGATTACGTAAATAATATTTACATCTCGTAATGGACTTTCAATGCTTTTCTCTTTTTGCGGTACTTCTGGGCAACGTATCGAATAATAGATGTCCTACACCCAGACGTAATACGCATCTCAAATAAGGAGCGTCATATCTGGAAAGGGGATATGGTCGTACCGTTTGTGCGTGACTGGACTCGTCCCTATGGTCACTCGTTTCCCTTTTCCCGGAATAAAAGAACGGCCTCCGAGCCGTGCTGGGAAGGTTATCTCGAAATCTCCGGAGTGCATAAACAAACAAAAAAAAATGCGTCACGTAGTTCCCAGAGAATTACGCAATTTTCATCCCGGCTAATTCTCTCTGGAAACCACAACGTTTGCAGAGCAATCCAAATGACTCCCGTCGAGCTCCTCGCGGGAAATGAAGAGCACGCGTGCAGAGAGTGACGGTTCGCGTGAACTTATTCCATTACTTTTGAACTCGAGCTTTATCTGAACTGTTTCGTGGATTAGGAAGCATTTGTAGTAAATGAAGATGTCGCGGGGATGTGTAGGTTAGGTTGGTCGAATCGTCGAATATCAGGTTAGGTGGACTATGGTTTGCACCTACGAACTGAAGGCACAGAAGGACAGGGAAATTAATCTACGTTTATCAACCCTTTGCACTCGAGAGGTGACTCGAGAGGCGTGATTAGGTTTCACGCAGCAAATCTACAATATCCAAAGTTTTTAGTTTACAATACTCAATTTTCTTCGGAGCTCGACGTATCGATAAAATCGACGTATCAGTAAAATGATTGTGTAGGTAAAGGTGACCTTATTCTCAAATCTAGATAGCTTAGAATTCATGGCAATAGAATGCTAAGAAACATCTCGAGTTGCTGATAGATACCAGAAAACAGGCTTCGAGTGCGAAGGGTTAAAGAAATTTGTCCAGATTAAGTAACGAGTTTGATGTTTCCGTATCAATTTTTCATTATACAGGGTGTCCCAAAAGTCGGGGAGGAGCTGGAAATGGGGGGTAGCTGAGACGATTCTGAACGACAATTTCCTTTGCAAAAATGTCGGATGAGGCTTCGTTAAGGAGATATTAAGCGAAAACCCCGACCAATCAGAGCGCGCGTAGACCGTTGGAGCGGCCGCGGTAGCGAAGGCTACGCGCCGGGCGGCCGCGCTTGCACGCGAACAAGTGACTCGACGCGCATCGAAGGACATTGACGCTGCCGCCTAGCGCGTAGCCTTCGCTACCGCGGCCGCTCGAACGGTCTACGCGCGCTCTGATTGGTCGAGGTTTTCTCTTAATATCTCCTCAACGAAGCCCCATTCGACATTTTTGCAAAGGAAATTGTTGTTCAGAATCGTCTCAGCTACCCCCCATTTCCGGCTCCTCCCCGACTTTTGGGACACCCTGTATATAGATACACGCGTAGAGTTCATTCGTGTAACTATTCATGTACACGAGTGCAAAGGGTTAAAGAAATTTGTCCAAATTAAATAACAAGTTTGATGTTTCCATATCAATTTTTCATTATAAATAGATACACGCGTAGAGTTCATTCGTGTACATATTCATTATGAAAGATTCATTCGGAAATATTAAGCTTGCCATTTAATTTAGACAAATGTGTCCAATAGAGGGTACGAATAGTTACGGGACCGACTGTATATCAATGGGCACTATTCCCGTCTCAATTTATCTCCCAGAGAGTCTCCCAGACCCAGAGTGCCTCTAGCTTCGCAGGTGCGACCAATTCGGCCAATCGAACTAGCCGGCCAACTTCCGACCAACGAACTCTACCCGAATTCCTTCCGCATCGTTATAGTAGGTCTCTGTGCCCTCTGACGGCGCAGGGAGGAAGTGAAGCCGAGACACGGTAACACGGCGATCCGTACGAAGTAGTCGAGAGGGTTGTAAACGCGGCTTTTCGCCGAGGTTCTCAGCGATAAGATTTGCATGCGCACGCGAGCCCGGAGCGTTCCGAGAACGCCGTTGCTCGTGGACGGTTCATGGAAATGGATCAAGCCTCTCGATGAATTTTCACGAGTCGTCGAGGGGTGAGCGGGATTAACGCTCTCTGCGCTCGCAGTTGCGCAGGGGACGTCTGACGCGAAACTGGGTTGCACTACTTCGCTCGGGTCTGGCCGCGGCCACAGAGAACCGGGCTTGGGTGCAAACCTGCATAATGCATAGGTGCACGAGGTCGGGAGCGAGTCGAAACCTGTTCGAAGTTTCCCACTGTTGAAAAATTATAGAACTTTTAGTCGGTATCTCGATAAATGATGCATAGTCTCTTTTCTCTTCTGGTCGTTAGGAACAAGCTGGAATTGGTTTCTTGGTCATTCGTTATTACTGCTAGGCGTGGGAAATAATTCGGCGCCCCTATGGTCAATTATTCATAAGTAGACTGCGGATCTTTATGCATTTATTGGAAATTCGAACGTGCAGAAACCAGAAACGTAATGCAAACGATATGAAAAAATATAATAAAGATTGAAATTAAAGTTCATGTTGTTTATGTTCGATTTTTGTAAGCACGTTCGCGAGGATTTTATTTTGCATAAAGATCTAGATTCTATATCCTGAATGCATCTAACATTCCCAGCTGAACAATTTTTTGCTTACAGTTATTCTCCTACAATTATTTAATTATCCATCTGTAACGCGTTAGATGAATAGTATACACGCACTTTACAGTGACCATCGGGTTAGGACTTATGGTTAGATTATACACCGTACAGATCAGTTGCAACGGAGACCAAGGCGGAGAACCTCGAAGGTTAATTAATCACGCAGTAACAGAATACTCTAGTTGAATCACAACGATAAATGATCGAATATAAACGCGTGGAAATGATATCTCCACTTAAAGAAAGACAGAAAATTCATTCGGGAGTCCCGTTAGCCTTAATTATCGCTCGAAGCGCGCCAGCCGCGACAAACACATTCCGATGATCCAATAGAAGGTTCGAATTAAGGGCGGGGGTGGACTCGCCGACCCTAGTAACCCGATTAATTGCGAACGTCATTCGATAGGACGTTCCACGGCCGCGTTTCATCGGCCCCTTTCATCGGCCCCTTTCATTTACCGATTCCCTTGGGAGATTGTATCACGGCTCGCGAAAGGCGTTGCGCATCGGATAGTTCAATTTCAGATAGAACGGGTTTACACGTAGCGTTTATTCCCGCTAAGTGACCCCTGTCGCGACAGTACTCCGGGTCCATCTTGCTTGGATAATTAATCGGCCATCTTGCGGACTTTTTCATTTATAATCGTACAGTTTGTCTGGAAATAAGCAACTCGGTCGGGAGCGACGAATTATTTTATTATTTCGAGGGAGGTATACTATTTGGCTACGGCTATTCTGCTTGACTTTGTATCCGAGCGTGACGAGGAGAAACCCGTCGACAAAACAGGGGTTTCGGTGTAGCGGCGACCTATAAACCGATCGCTCGAGTACAGGTATTATTTATCGGAGAATGACAGAAGATGCTGTCTCACTTTAGCACTAGTAAAATCGTACGAATTGTCGGATCTCTCATTTGACTTGAAACAAAAACATGGGAAAAGTTGCTTATGTACAGATAATGCTGTATCGGTTTACATACTATCTTTTTTTTTTTTTTTATAAATAAAATAATCGAGGGTCCAAATGGAATCCTCAAAAAAAGATGATTATAATATTATCCGAGGTCTGAAAGGCACCACGATGAATTCAGTTCAATGATATTCGGTTAATGTAATTAATGCAACGACGATGTTAAAGAATCTGTTAAAGAATGTTGCTCTCGTGACCATCAGGAGTACGTGAATCGATACCATGGACAGAAAATGGGCTCCTTGGAGCCACACGTGTTCGCCCTGGCCGAGGCTGCGTACAGGTCGCTCCAGGACACGGAGAGCAATCAGTCCTGCGTGATATCCGGCGAAAGTGGGGCCGGAAAGACCGAGACCACGAAATTTATTCTCCAGTATCTATGTTCGGTAACCAGCAACGTGGACACGTGGGTGGAACAGCAGATTCTGGAGGCAAACACCATTCTCGAGGCATTCGGTACGTTCAACTGTGGTTTCGTTATCAAATAAAAATAAAAGTAAAGTAAAGCGTAACAATTTCTTCTAATTTACTACTAATTTATTGACTCTCTCTCTCTCTCTCTCTCTCTCTCTCTGCTAACTCTTTCTTCAACCATCGATTGTCCGCAATGATAAAGACCCCGGTCGCCACTGTTTCGAACGAACGAGAGATTTCTCGAGCCAGTGTCGAAAAGCCGGGCTTCGAAAGTAGGCGAACATAAACAGGCTGGTCGCGTGAAACGGGTCGATGAACCCTATTTCTTAATGGCGTTTAAAAATAAAAGGGAATTCATTACTCGGAGTCGAGAGGCCGTGAGCGGAGTCAGGTGTTAAATGCAGAAACGAGGGGTGAAAACTGGGTCACCGAAGAAGAAAGATTTAAGGGATATCGTAAAAAATTGCGCGGTTCGCGGGCCCCCCTTAAGGAAAACACAGAAACGGGATATTCGGAGCCGTGCTTCCGCCGTGAACAATTTACGTTATTACTTGAATATTTTCGAGCGAAATCTTTTTATCCTATTTAATTCTTTTTATCCTATTTAATTCTTTTGTTCGTTTGGACCAGGTAACGCGAAGACGGTGAGGAACGACAACAGCTCGCGGTTCGGAAAGTTCATGCAAGTGTGCTTCGACAGCAAGTGGATGATCAAGGGTTGCATCATCCAGGATTACCTGCTGGAGCAGAGCCGTATAACCTTTCAGAGCACCGGGGAGAGAAACTACCATGTGTTCTATCAGCTGGTCGAGGCTGGCACGAGGGACAAGGAATTCGCCGAGCAGTATAAATTGATGCCAGCGAGCCACTACAAGTATCTCAATCAGTCCGGTTGCGTCAAGATCGACGGGATCTCCGACTCCAAGAAGCTTGATGCTCTTAGGCTTGCGTTCAACGTGCTTCAGGTAGTCGAGACTCGGCCAACTCCTGAAACTAGATCACTGTTAACGCACCTTGAGCGACTCACCGATTTTTAACGCTGTATTTACCGGGAGCCTATTTAAAGGCTTTTTAATTATAGTATTTAGTTATTCGAATTTATTTACTGTGTTACAGTAACAGTATGAAAGAATTATCGTTAGTCTAGATTATCATATGCTGCTGTAGAAAATTCTTTTTTAATTAAAGACTGTTTCTAAATAGCCCGGTAGATAAAGTGTTAAGGAAATTCTTGGCAGGCCACGCGAGCCGCTTAAAAGCGCTGGTATTATAGAACCAATGTTTCTTAATGTTCAACGTTCGGACCGCTCAACGTGTTAAATTCGATTCACCTAAACAATTATTTCTGTTACTATACACCATTTAAAATACACAAATATTGTCTCAGGTCGCTCCAGAGATGTGCGAGGGAATTTTCAGAGTTCTGTCCGCCATCCTCTGGCTGGGAAACTTGAGCTTCGAGGACGTGGACGGTGAGAGGTGCGAGCTGACCACCGAGGATCTCGAGATCGTTGGAACGGTGGCTCCTTTGCTGGGGCTGCAGGTCGAGGATCTCACGAAGGTGGTGCTGATACGGCAGATAAACGTGCGGGGAAACATCACGGAGATACCGCTGAAAGTACAGGAAGCCAGGGAAAATAGACACGCGATGGCGAAAGCGCTGTACTCGAGGGCGTTCGCCTGGCTCATCAACCACATCAACAATTGCACGAATCCCGGTCAAGATAGCTCGAGATTCCTCGGCGTCCTGGATATATTCGGCTTCGAGAACTTCGCCGTGAACAGCTTCGAGCAACTGTGTATCAATTACACCAACGAGAAGCTCCACAAGTTTTTCAATCACTATGTGTTCGCGTTGGAGCAAGAGCTCGTAAGTAGTTTCTGGTCGTTGGGCCGTGTGACAGGCTTTGTAGATCAACTGGTGGGACGAAACTCTCGTCGCGTAGCTAGTAAGAGTTCAATTTAATGTTAAATCCATCTAGCGACAAAACGCCACGAACCTCTTGGAACATTTTTATTTGTCGATGGCTCCACCGGTTGAGCAACAAAATTTCCACCAAAGGGTTAAGAGGCACGCCAACCCCACGATGAAGTAAATTACCGTAACGCGTGGAACGTTTCGAATTTCAGTACCGTCAAGAAGAGATCCAATACTCCCATATCACCTTCACAGACAACACCATGTGCCTGGAATTAATCGAGAAACCTCCACGATGTGTTCTTAAGTTACTGACCGAGCAGTGCCATATGCCGAAGGGCTCCGACCTAGCGTATCTGACTAATTTGCACGCCGAATTCGAGAACCATCCGTGCTACGTGAAAGGCGACGATCGACGAAAGTGGGAAAAGGAGTTCGGGGTGAAGCATTACGCGGGCTGCGTGACGTACACCGTCGAGGGTTTCGTGGACAAGAACCGCGACGTCCAGCAGGATGTGTTTTTCGACTTCATGTCGAGAAGCACGAACGAGTTCGTGCAAGAGATCACCGTCTACCAGGACCTGTTGGGATGCACGGTGGCTCGCGCGAGCGGTAACACGACCACAATGTCCCGTGGAACGTCCAAAGGCAAGCCAACGCTTTGCGACTCGTTCAGGCATCAGCTGCAGGCGCTGGTAGACGTCCTGCAAGCCACGACTCCTTGGTACGCGAGATGCATAAAGCCCAATATGCAGAAGATAGCGAACCACTACGACGAGAAGCTGGTGCTCGATCAGCTAAAGTACTTGGGCATGCTGGATATAATTCGGATCAGAAAGGAAGGCTTCCCTATACACATGGCCTTTCACGACTTCGTCGCTAGGTACCGGTGCCTGGACAAGGCTCGTTTGTCTCGTCCAGGACAAGAGATCGAAGCTGTCAAGTGTCTGATCAGTAGCCAAGGTATACCCGAGACCGAGTGGCAAATAGGCAAGAGCAAAGTGTTTCTTAGGAGCTATGTTCACGAACCTCTGGAAGACTCCAGGAACCAAATGGTTACCAGCAATGCCATGATGATACAGAAAATATGGAGGGGCTATGTCGATCGAAAGGGTATGTTATACTCGTTTTTAAAGTCCAATTATATCTTTTAAAACTCGTGCAACAAGCATCCATCCGATGAATTATTTTTCTACGTAGAGTACAAACGCATAAGAGAGGCAGCGTTGAAAGTACAGCATGCTTATCGAGGCTGGAAGCTGAGAATCATGTTCATCAGAAAGCGTAGAGCAGCTATTGTCATACAGAGTCACCTGCGCGGCGTCTTTGCTAGGGAAGTGGCGGCAGCCCTGAGGGAAATGAGGCGAGTGGACGAAGAAATGAGAAAGAGAGAGCGACAAGAGGAAGAGAGGAGACTAATGGAAGACAAGAAAGCACTGGAAGAGAGCCAGAGGTAAGGCGCAACCAGCTACTCCTATAATCTTATAATACGTATTTCAGTATACGAAGTGCAGTGGCGTTCACTTGGGACGATCGTTCGTTTGTGCGTTAATAGCGTTTCCATTTGTGTCTCTTGTAGCGCACAGTACAATGGTATTGTCGGAATGGAACCTGGGTAAGTTGGTCAGTAGTTCGAGCGGCGAATTAAAACCCTCTGCCGCATGATGAGCTCTGCGAGTAACTGCTCTTAACGTAGATGCAAAGTTTAATGCCGCATAATGCGCATCAGCACGCGCCCCGTACTTCCCTGACTAATCTCTACGCTTAACACTAAAACCAGCGTGATGGGTTTTAGTCCAGGGTATTGGTAACCTTGCTCGATTTTACAGGAAGGCGCAAGAAGAGATTGCCGCGTTATCGCAGATGGCGGAACAGATGAACTCCAAGATGGCTGCTTCGGATTTGCAGTCGGTGGACTTGGACAACTTGTTCTCGTTTCTGTCCGATGTTCAGTCGACGAAGGGTAATCAGATCATCGAGGAGATCGGCGAACAAATGGACGAACTGGTGGAAGACCTTGACGTGGAGCTGGAGACTGTGATACAGCAAGAATTGGAGATGAACTCCAAGTCCGAATCCAAAGCGAACACTCCAAATGGTCAGGAACCACCATTAACGCCACAGCAAATGTCACAATCGCAGCAAAGGCTAGCCTGTGGTAACAGCGGCAAGCTTGGTCAGCCTAGTCTTCCCGAACCTACCGAACCCCCTCCACCTCCACCGCCACCCGCTCCGCCCATAGCAATGAACGGAGATTCCTCCACCGACAACGGAGAACCAATTTACGAATCCGTGTTGCCTCGAGAGGAGAACAGTCCCAGTAGTCCCATCGTAATGAACGGTAGCTCTGGATCATTGGTGAACGGAGAATCCTGTGGATCGCCTCCACCGGTGCCAAACAACAAGATTATCAAGGAACAGATCGCTGGCAGTCCTCCTTCCAGACCAGAATCTAGGAACTCGAACGGTCACCATTTGCACCACAATCATCATCAACTGGTGCCTCAGCAGCAACAGAACGGTCACGAACAACATCAGCAGCAACAGCAACAGCAACAATCTCAACAACCGCCCGTTGAACGCGAGCAAAGACGGAAATGCAGAGTAGAGCGCAAGCTTCAGGAATTAGAGGACAAAAAGGAACCCGATAACGAAGTGACTTATCACGACATAGTAGAATTCGCACAGAATTACTTCAACAGCCACGAAAGATCTCCCGAGGGGACGATAATGGCCACGCTCACCAGAAAATCGCGCGGCAAGAGCGTGGAGTATATTCCAAAGTACGAAATGGTCACGTACTACAAAGGTTCCACCATTCCAAATTCTCACATTCACATGTACGATCCCGATAACGTTAACGTGGCATGTTCAGTCTTTAGGGTGAGCAACCGGTATCATGGTCAAACCTTATCGCATGGATTCTCGAATGATCTTAATACTATTTTCCTTTACTTTCAGGATCTCTGTAAATATACAAGAGGAGAGATGAAACTGGATCAGGAGATCGCAACGATTCAGAGCATAATCGGTTACGGTATCGAACGCGAAGAGCTGAGGGACGAGGTTTTCGTGCAGTGCATGCGTCAGGCGACGAACAATCCTAACCCAGAATGGGCGGAACGAGTCTGGTTATTACTGTGTCTGGCGATCGTTGCCTTCCAACCCAGCAAACTGCTCTACAAGTACTTCGTGTCCTTCCTGCGAAAGAACTTGGCTCTGGAAGGGAAACTGAGACAGTACGTTCAATGGTGCGTGGATAACTGCAAGAATATGAAAGCCTCGTGCAGACAGCATCCACCGTCGACGGTGGAGATCGCTGCCATGAGACGATTGGGCACTATAGTTTGCCGGTTCTTCTTCCTGGACGGAAGAACCAAAGCGATCGATGTGCATCCAACCGACACTGCCTCTGACGCGGTTGCTAAGTTAGGTGAAAAATTGGGTCTTCGATCGTTGGAAGGTTGGGCAATTTACCAAAGCAGACCGGACGGCGAAGAGCACGTTCGCGCGCACGACTATTTGTACGATGTAATAGCTGCTTGGGAAATGTACGTGTCGCTATACTTCACTATTTAACAAATATTATATCGGGAATGTTGTTTCTAATTCATTTAATTCTGTGTATTCAGGAAACAATGCAAGCTGAACACTGCGCAATCGACGTTCTCGACATTGAGACGAAGTAATAATGCTACATTAGGCAGCGGCGATAATCGATTCGTCTTCAAACGCAGGCTATTCCGAAACACTCGAGAAATATCTCAAGATCCTGTTGAAGTGAACATGCTATACGCTCAAGCAGTATATAATGTTGTTAAGGTATATCTACGTAGAGTTTAAAGAATATTCATCGCGACTTTCCAAGGTAAATTCAAATCTCAAAATTTCAACGTTTTATTTTCCAGTGCGACGACTTTCCAGTATCCGAGAAGGTCGCGCTTCAATTGGCAGGTCTGCAAGCCCAAGTCGCTCTGGGAGATCCGAAAGATAACGATCGCCTAGATTACTACAGCGAGGTCGATAGCTTTTTGCCTTATCGAATAAGTCGAGCCCGCGGCGATGACGTTTGGGTGCCGATAATAGCTCAAGCGCATAGACAGTACGGCGCCGGTCGCAAGGAATTGGCAGCCAAAGTATTGTATCTATCGTGTGTGATGCAATACCCACTTTACGGCACGACGATGTTCAACGTCACTTATCGGGGTTACTGGTCGTACGGCAACCAACTGATCTTAGGCATCAACTCCGAGGGATTGATGCTCATTAAACCCGACGACAAGTTCGTTTTGTCAGAATATCGGTATCAAGACGTGGAGAGCATCATGTTGGACCCCAGCGACTGCTTCATCACTTTGTCCCTGCTTCGTCACAATCCTGACAGTTCGCACAAGTGCTTCGTATTCGAAACTGCGCAGAAAAACGAGATAGGTAGTCTGATCGTTAGTTACTGTCCAGCGCTGGCTGCATGGATCACGGAAAACGAGGTTCCCACTAAGAAGCTCAAGTGTATCACTAACGAGGATCGAATTAGACTTTACCATAACTTAGTTAACTGTCGAAGGACGCTAGTCGATGCGGAAATCCTAAGAAAACCTCAAGACTCTGGCGGTGGTTTCCTCAGGAATACCCTTAGACGGCTATCGAAGCACAGAATAGAAAAGCTTAGGCAAGAGCACGGCAGCGCAACGGATCACGGTGAAACCTACAAGGGATTCCCGTACGCGTATTGGGCGTTCAGCAGACAAGCAATACCACAGAGCCTTTCGAAGCTACCCGACCCAGACGAGCAGATGTCCCTCAGCGTATTCCAATTGATTCTAACGTATGCTGGACTAGGACAAAATGGAGACACGGTTCGAAGGGTCGAGGACGAGCACGTGAACCTGATACAAACGGTGATGGAACGATGCATAAGAAAAGAGAACTTGTTGGGCGAATTGTATCTACAGTTGATCAAACAAACCACCGATCACCCCGATCCTAATAGTCGGGTGAATCTCAGGCATTGGGCGCTGCTCTCTCTAGCCTGTTCCGTGATTCTTCCGCCTCAGAAGGTCATTCGAAAGTATTTGATAGCGCACTTGAAGCGTTGCGCCAGCGATTATGTGACGGAGGAGGGGAAGTACGCCCGATTCGCTGAAAAGTGCCTTTGCAAGACGCAGGGCACGAGGAGAAGGCAATGGCCACCGAGCAGGGAAGAGATAATGTGCACAATTAACCGTAGGCCTATTTACGCGAGATTCCATTTCATGGATGGCCAGTATCACGCCGTGGAATTTCATCCATCGGCGACGGCTAGGGATGTCATGGAGATCATCAAAGCCAAGATCGGTCTGGAAGAAACTGCACTGGGTAAGATTATTATTTTATCGCGTGAATTGTAGCTACGCGTCTGCTGTAGCTAATTCTCGAAATTATGATTTATAGGTTACGCTATCTACGAAGTCCTAGGTCCAACCGAGCGAGCGCTGATACCAGAAGAGAAAATCGCTGACGTGATGTCGAAATGGGAACGTTACAGAACAGCGAACGCACAGCAGAACCAATCGCAACGAAAACACGCACATCACTTTTTCCTATTTAAGAAACATTTGTTCCTCGATCAGTACATGAACCTCGACGATCCCGTAGAGAAGGAGTTATTGTACCATCAAGTGCTGCACGACTTGCGCGCTGATCGGTTCCCTATCACCGAGAAGGAAGCTGTAAATAATTTTCTTTCCGTCTGTAAACTTCGTTAAACTCGTTCGATACAGGGCGCACACTAACGCGAAGGACCTACTTCGGTGAACGCTGAAGTAGATACCACATGTTAGGATGCGCCCTGTATACTGCGGATCAGACAGCAGTTTAAATAAACGTAGGACGACGTGGTTGAACGATATATTTTTCAGATGATGCTGACAGCCTTGCAAGCTCAATTAGAGCTAGGTGATTGCGAAGATACCGTGTCGGACCTCGATTATCGCACTATATCGAGCCACTGCCTACCCGCGAGACTGGTACCAAATTTGTGCGTGGAAGGTGTTTTCCAACACCACCAATCCCTAAGAGGGATGACACCGCCCGAAGCAAAGAAGTCTTTCTTAAATTTAATTCAGTCGTGGCCGCTGCACAGGGCCACGATATTCGACGTGATGCAATCGTTTACGTCGAACTGGCCCCGCGTTCTTTGGTTGGCCGTCGATCAACAAGGTCTTCATCTTCTGGAACATCGCTCCAGAAACGCTCTTTGTACCTACGAATACAGCAGTATTCTCAGTTATAGCCCAGCTGTTAGTTGTTTGATGATTATCACCGGTACCGATAAGAAACAGAGCAAAGTGATCTTAACGACATCCCAGGTAATTATTCTAGGGCTGTTGTTTCTCAAATACGACCGAAACGTATTCGATATCATCATTTATACGATCGCGTAATTTCATTTCAGGCACATCAAATAGCGAATTTAATTCGCGAGTACATGGACGTGCTGCAATCGCCACCGGAAGTACCAAAGAGGGATTCAGCGATAGCTCAACAAATAGCTCAACAGCAGCTGCAACAATCGTCAGCCAATCTCTCGACGACTACCGGTGGTCGGAAATCTCGACCTGCTTCGGTACTGCATAGAGGTGCTCCAGTGATACAATCGCAAGCTAGTTAAAAAGGTTAAACTAATCGTTAAGTGCGACACTCCTCCCTGAATTGATACCGATAAACTGCTTTCATTTTCATACCTTTATATTACACGTTTATCTTTAATATTTTCAATATCCATACTTTTATACATCTATATCTCTTCTATCGTTCAAACGACATTCTTTCTAAATAAGCGATCTAGGTGATCGATACGTTTCAAGACGAACCTATTTCGGTATCAAGTTGATGACAAGGATGTGTCCGTAGTTATTGATGCTTTATTGGCAAGGCCTATCAGGCGACGAAGCGCGAGAATTGTCGCAACGAGACGACACTAGCCTAGGAATACTTTCTTCCAATATTTATTCAATTAGCTTAGGGCTCGAGAGACGTTGAAAAACAAAGAACATAACTGCCACCGCGGAGAGTAGATTAGCGAATGGACCGACCGACAAAAACTGCCATTTTACGATTTTAAAGCTGAAAAGCCTTCGAAACATTTCTATTTCCATTTTTCTCCGTCAAAGTCGTTGCCTTTTTTACGAGCGATCGTCAACGTTTTTTATACAATTTTTCCCAGTATATATAACGCGATAACCAACGAATGAATTGGTGCGTATTATTAATGTCGACGTACGATCGGAAATGGGCAAAATTTTATTCGAATAATAATAATTCATTACAATTTCGCCCATATCTCCATGCACTGTATTCTGCATATCATTTTTTATCGTCAGACAAAAAAGGGTGATTATCAAATTTTCAATACAATTTCATGGTTGATGCTAACCAAGTCTGTTAATCGAGCTGTAAAAGCCTCGAGTATCTTATTTGACAGTATATTTTAGTTTAGACAATGTCAAGGATGACCAATTAATTAATTCTATACCCTATTTTGCTTGTCTCGTTGATCACTCTGTTCGATGATGCTACCATTATATGATAAGAGATAAGAGAAAAACTTAAAGGCTTTGAAAATCAACATATTGCAATCGACGTTAACGTCTCGAATATTAACTTGTGCAAAATTTAAACACGATTATACACACACGTTATCATTGTACTTAGGCACAATATTCCAAGTATAGCAAACGATTATATAACCATTAACTCGTAATTCGAAAAATCTTCGATCACATTTTAAATGAAAGTCAAACGATGATCGGATATTCGTTTTCCAGACAATCCTTTCGCGCTATAGTCACTTTTCTTGTAAGGCTTGACAATTATGGCATTTAAATCCAAACATTTAACGGATAGGGAATCTTTGGTATTAAATAAACAATATCCGTGATTCAGATGCACGATCGCATCGATCAAATATTCCACAAAATTGCGTCCAAAAAAAATTTCTTATTACTTCTTTTAATTCGAAAGCCCCGAATCGCTCGATATCTTGATGTGTAAATATTAAACGGAAAAAAAAGAAATATTGAAACCTAAAACGATAGATTCCGAGCAAAATTCTTCAACGTTAAATTAAATTCTATTTCCATATAAGCTAGATTTACGCGTTAATCAGTCTTAGTTAAGCCTTTAAACGCAATCCTTCATATTTGTAAAACGTGGCAAACATACAAAATCGAAATTCTCGAAGGATCTATACTGTTCACAGTTCACTACGTAGATATATAGTTCAACTAAAATAACAGTCTCGACAATGAGCAATGGCGATTGCTCGGTAACAAATTATACAGTTTAGTAATATACGATTGTACCATAATTAATTTTCGAATTATGTGGTATAAGCACTTTTTACGGGACACAGTCGAGAAAGGATTAGGGTAAGATTAAATATACAATTTCCTCTGTTAGTCTTTTGTCGAACCCTGGAGCCAGCGATGAACCGTGACGAAACAGAGATGTTTGCATGCCCCCTGCAATCCGTATATTCATTCCGTTTGTTTTTCCGTGAAATTAGCTAAGATTTGACGAGTGCAGAGACAGACTGTGATCCGCTTTGGGTGTCCTTAGTCTTCGAGAGCTGTTCAACGAGTGAGACATCGTGTTAACTAATAAAAAAAGAAAGAAGATGACGAGCGTGTGTGAGTGAGAGGGTGAATGAAAGTATGAGAGAGCTACGAGAAATATTGTGAACATATGAAATCGTACGTAAGAATCGAGAAAACGATTTACAACGAGTGCATGATACTTAAAAGGGGATAAGAGAATGGAAAATATGAAAATCCCCATATGTGTAGCTTAAGCAAAATAAATTATTGGTTGATGATGTTATATTGAAATATTTAAGAACGAAAAACACTGTATATACGTATATAAATAGACGCGCACAGACGCATATGCGGACAACGCGATTTACACACAATTGCATACATATACACACACATATGACAAATTTTATGTAAACTGGAAGGAATACATACAAAGCAGACAAGGGGTAACACCACGCCTACACATAATGCGACAAAGATATACATACCATTATATAAATATGAACATAAATATAAATATATGATGAATATATATAAATATATAAATACAAATAAATATAGATTATTAATATACTCGAGCTATGTATAAGGATACAATAAAACAAAGCAAAGCTTTAATATTGCAAGTAACAAGGACTGTTTCTTTCACAGTTTACAATAAGTATAATCATAGTCGAAACTAATTAATACAATACAACACAACACCCTAACACCTTCTAACATCTCGTAACAGATCCGATCTACCTCCAAACATATCCTACAAATATCCCTATACTCCTACTAACACCTCCCAACATCTCCTAACTCCTCCTGACACCTTCTAACATATCGTAACACCTTCTAACATCTTGTAGCACCTACTTACATTTCCCTTTAAATTCCTTTTAATTTACATTCTATCCCTGGTACACCTCTTCGTATATCATGTTCTCCTGATACCAAAATTCAAAATCGGCCCCCAATTCCCATACGTACAGAAAAATGTGCCCCTTGAATTAGGCAACCTATACTTACAGATATGTCGGGCCGGTTGCCTACTCGTAGGCGCAAACGTGCCACCTCTTCGCATATCATGTTCTCCTGTTACCAGGAGTAGAAATCCGACATTTCCCGTCACAATTTTAAGCAGGGCGATTTGCAACATTGTAGAAGTTTTGAGAGAAGCGGTTTGCAACATTGTTGAGTTTCGAAAGGAGCTATTTGCAACATTGTTGAAGTTTTGAGAGAAGCGGTTTGCAACATTGTTGAGTTTGCAACATTGTTGAGTTTCGAAAGGAGC